AAATTCTCATTTGGCAAGCAGCGTGGTTCCAGGCTTCACCTCTCAATACAAACATGACCATAGTTACCTATTCATTTTATTTGCTTAATTTCATATTGCATCATTCTTGTCATTGTTAAATATTAAGCTTATCTTATCCAATCCCAATTCATGTTCTCATATCTTATTTTACGATATTATCTAAAATTCTTATCTCAATTCTATATTCATTTATTCAATTCCAAATCTATCTCCTTCCATTTTTCTTAGTATATTCTGATATCTTATTTTACAATATTATCTAAAATTCTCATCTCCTTTCTATTATCATTTCTCATATTATTTTTTTCCTGTCACATTTGTCATTTTATCAATCCTTATCTGTAAATATAGTTGTCCTCTCCCCTCTGAATAATTCCAGCCAACCACCTTTATTCTTCCTTAATATCAATCTCCCTATCTAGTATAAAACACAAATATATTTTTCTCAGATTCCGCATTATATTTTCTCTATGAATCATCTATACATTACAAAATACCATTGTCAATATATTCTTATACATCCCAACATATTACCTTGCGGAATCTCCTTCTTTATCCTTTTTTTTTTCACCCATTATCTCTCACTCTTTGAACAATGTATCTTCTTTTCATCCTTGTTTGTTTCCTGTTCTTTATTTTCTGGTCCTTTCCCTTTTCTCCCATTCTTATTCTCCTCCTTTTCTCATTGCAGTTATTAAACTTTTCTGTCTCCCTTTTGATTTTTCTTTTGCACTTCCTTTTTCTGCTTTTCCCTTCTCTCTTTAAACATTTTCTGAACCATTCTCCCTTTTATCATCCCATCAGAAATTGTTTTTTAATTCTAATTCCTTTCCCTCCCTGCTTGAATAATTGTTGTTCGTTTTGTTCTTCTAAGTTGGCTTCTTCTTTATAAAACTCCTCCCCCTCTGGTTAATTGTGTTCTTGTGTATGCTGAGTCACTATTTCTAATTTCTGTAATACATAATTACACATTTCAAGTTTAATTTTTCTCATGTCCCTTGTATCTTGCATCTCCGATCTTATGTTTTCTAAGTCCAGTCTTATATCAACAAGTAGCTCCTCCATTATATCTTTTTTCTTTTTCTTTCCTCTTCCTTAATAGTTGAAATCCTCTTCTTTGATATATTCAATCCCAGAGTCCAGTATCTTATTTCAGCCAATATCTTTTGAGTTTATTTTCAACAATTCATACTCTTGAATCTTTATTCCAAATCTTCTAATTGGCCTCCCAACTGTTTCCCAAATTATTGGGTGGTTCTATGACAATAATAAAGTTCCTTTTATTTTCTTTCAAGTTCCAAGATCCAAAGTCTCAAAAAGACCAGACGCTTGTGTTAAAACATATTAAAGTTTTCCTGTACCATCAGGTGGCGCTTGAGTCTTTTTCTTTTTAACTTTCTTTGTTGAATATGTTTTTATTAAGTTCACTAATTTCAATCATTAGCTATTCAACACACTCAATTCCAGCATTTAGTTATGCCTTTTAAGTGCCCACAATTCAATATCTGTCCAGTTTAATTTTTAAACCTTTGTGTTAACGTATTTTCCTTTAAAATTCTCCTCCAGATTAGTCCAGTAAAATAATCAAATCCAAAATTAAAAACCCATTTTCTTTCTCACTTTTTCTGGTCACCACTTCCACACACTTTCCTCCAAAATAGCCCTTTGATACCGGGGTACCTCAAAAGCGATGTCCTTTGCCTGGTTCACACTCTGCCCGCTACTTCTCTCCAGCACAAAACTTAAGTTTCCCGGAATGTTCTTCGTCTTCGTGGTGGCCATTTTAAGACCACCACTGCAGCTTGTCTTTAGGAGGGATTTTCCTGTCAAGGAGGGGAGTTGTGGCTCCCCTCAACCCTCCAGATGATTTCCCCCTTCTTCACCACCCCACCAGGGTGGTTCTGGTCTCGATCGGGACCTTCCAGCAAGAGAGCTCAGGTGAAACCGTGCACAATCGCGGATTCCACACTGACACCGATGAGGAACAAACCAGATCCCTCATACCCGAGGTTTTTTTTTTGTAAAAGATTTATTTGGGTTTTCACAAAACATACAATTAAAATATCTTTTTCAGAACAGCGTGATTCCAGGTTATCACTTCTCTATACAGACATGAACTCATTTACATATTCATCTTTTTCTAAGTTTCAGTATCTTTCTAATCATTATATTTATACTTTTGTCTGTCCTATTTACACTTTCATATTTTCTTTTCTCATAAAACAAGATTTCCCCTGTAATTACTAACTGGAGTGTAACACCTTTATATCTTTAAATTACTGTCCATTCAAATCTCATTTAACATTTAATTTATATCTTAACAATTATAACATTAAATTTCTAACCTCTATTTTATAACATATAACTCTTATCAACCGAATTCTGCTTGGTACATTCCCTTAGAAATACACACTAGGTTCTAAAAAATACAATTGTAACATTTCATATAATTTATCAACCAAGTACTATTTGGTACCTTCCCTTAAGAATCAATAAGTTCTAAACAGAAAAGGAAGTAAAGTAATTAATAAAGTTGTTATTCTATTCAAATTCATCTTAACATCTGATATTCATATTTCTTTTCAATTATATTTTAATAAATAATTGATAAGTTAAAATACTCCCATCCTTTCTCACTTCCATTCTCTTATTCTCTTTATTTCATTTAGTTACATTCCATTACATAACAGTACCAATTTTATCTATCACTTTAATCACCTATATTTCATATTTTCTATACCCATTACTATTTCTAATATAACAATACTATCTAATGTACCCTTGTAGAATCCTCTCTTTCAATTAGGTTTTCAACCATTATCTCAGTGAATTCTTGTACGTTTTCCCTGCTTCTCTATAACCTGTTTCTATCCATACTCGAGGTTTTTTTTAATGCCCTAGCTTTAAAGTTCTTTCAGCTGAAAGGGTAATAGTAAAAAAATATGCACAATGTTTAACTAGGAATTTAACTGTGTCCTCCACCCGAAGAAAAATGACAAGGAGAGCATGATAGGCTTAAACCAGGGGTGTCAAACTTGCGCCATCACAGCATCATCAGGTGACTTTTTCCCGCTTCATTAAACTTTTTCCCCCTTCATTAAACTAGGTGTGGACAGTGCATGATGCATCCAGTCCACAGACTTGACACCGTTGGTTTAAACTTTTTTACCAACCTACAGTTAGGAAAGCACAGCATTTAATAATACATAATGGGAAGTCATCTACAATGCCCCTAAAGGGAAGAAAACAAACACTGCAGTCAGCAGGTGTTTTCATATCCTACTCCTTAACCAGCTCCAATCTTAAGAGACTCATTTCTTTTATTTATTAAATTAAAAGAGTAAATTCATCAAATGGCCCCAATTAATTTCCTCAACAATGTGGATCAGTTTTCTCTACAAAAAAGAGCCTAACTAATTCTGGCCTCTGGGATATCCTTATTATTGAACGATTGTTTGATTCAGGTTCATGAGTTGCACAATGGATGGTAGACTCTTAAAACTTCTTTATGGGCTGCACTGAATTCAGAAAAACCAAATAGCATCCTCTTCAGTCATAATAGATAAGAGATAATTATTCAGTTCATTTTTAATAGTTAACATTGAGTCCAGTGCCTAGAACCCAGCTAACCTTTATTTTTACCTTTTTATCCTGTTTCTTCCCAATAAAACCAGCCCACAATGATATGAATCCACAAGAATAAAATCCAAATATCAGAGACATCAGATCAATTATAACATCCATACATAACAACAGTATATAGACAATAATTTTTTTCTCTTTCCAACCCTAAAATATCAAAGCAATAAAGTTTAGCCACATACTGATACTAGTTTAAGGTCTACCACTGGACTCAACAATATATGCTATACAAGAAGCTTACATATAGAACACCCTACATTTGAGTTTTAATAGAATAAGCTTGTGAAGAAATTCCAGTGTGGTATACAAGATTTCAACATTTCGAATATATCTAATTTGATTTAATTAACCTTGGAAGGAATTTCTTTTCTTCTTCTTTTTTCTTTCTTTTTCTCTCCTTTCTTTCCCTTCCTTCCATTCTTTCTCTGTCACATATAACATATGTGACAAAGGGTTGAGAAATTCATTTAAACATCCATGGAGAATTAGGAAGAGAACTAGGGGGAACCCCATTGTTTGCATAATACTTGATGGAATCCTTATTTTAAATGTTAGTATTTTTGGCCATGACTGTATGCAGAAATTGCATGTTCTAGTAGTTCAACAAAATTTTATATAATGGTAGCATAATACAATTCCTTGATTATATCCTCTTCTTCTGAACTAGGCCACATTTAATCACATATAGTAACAGAATAAATAATAAAACGGGTATTTTGATGAAAATCAATTTTTATTAATATCTGCATATTAATAACACAAAAATTTCAGTTTTTAAAAACAAGATATAAAGATATTTGGCATGCCTTTAAAAATATATCTAGTACAAACAATATCTTTTCTGATAAATCCTGAACCTCACATTTCTATAACATGCACTGCATACATCAGACTAAGTGAACATGGAGCACGTGGGCTACTTATCTGAGTAGATTACAAGCATTGCTTATTAACTGCTACTGTAGAAAGACCATACATGTCTCATCATATGTCTCACCTATGTTGTATAATTCCATGAAATATATTTTGTGTATTATTAAAGCTAAGGTGACAGTGTGTCACTTTCCAGCCACAAATTCTTCATCAATCTATGGATTCACTTATAAAGTCTCCAAACGAGATATTCATAACAGAAATGCTGCCTGAGGCTCTAATTTTGGTGACTTCCTTTCCACCAGCAGCAAAATACTGTTGAAGGCATAATATAGTTTCTTCTTCACATAGCAACTCTTGTTTGCAAAAAAGGTCAATTGCTTTCATATTACTGTTTTAGAAAGGTATGCCATCTTGTATTTTCTGTTTTATCATGCAAAAACCTTCTCAAATCACCCATTTTCTGCAACTAATACTGCTTATGCTGCAAGTGTCTGCAAGAGAAACCATGGTCCAGAACAAGGAAATACTCAAAAGATTTCCTACAAAAAGCAGCAATAATGAGCTGGAGAAAAAAATGTACTGCATGAAACACACAATGAGTATTAGCCCATACCACTCTTCTTAGCTTGTCTGTTAATAAATTCACAAATACTTCTAATTTTTCTTCTGTACAGATGACATGTAGAACTTGCCCTTACCTATTGCTTGTTTGCACAACACTGAATCTTAACTGGAAATATGAACCCATTAAATTTTGCGAACAACCTTCCTGTTGCTCACCAATGAAATGCAGAGCACACGCTATATCGCATGCTTATTACGAATAATTTCCCCTCCTTCAATCTCAATTTGCTCATATAGCCACTTGCGATCACAACGGCATTCAGGTCCACACTTGCGAGAGCCGCACTTGGAGCAGGCATAGAAACACCCAAGGCAGTCTTCATCAAGGCAGTCACACAGGTCTATCCCGCTGTAAAGCAGAAAGCCTTGGCCGTCGTATACCTTGCTCTTTGCTATTAATTGCCTGGAGGGAAAAATACAAGCAACAATAATTTAACAACGATTTGTAATACTAGACGCTTTGTTTTAAATAATAAACCATTCAGTTAAAAAGTCCTGATAGGTGAATTTCTGTCATGCCCCCGTTGGAATCTGATTATGAGGGGATGGCTGAGCAGCTGAATGGGAGGGGGAGTGCGGCTCCATTGGCTGTGGAAGAAACTGTGGAAGAGCAAAGTCCGACTGGGTGGACCAGGGGAGAGGTAGAGCAAGGCAGAGGGAATTCAGAGGAAGACTCAGGGTCACCCCCTTTTCATCCTAGGGCATGCAGGGAGGAATGGAGAAGGGACCAATGTGAGTTGCGTGGTTTATGGGGGAGGAAAGGGCCCTGATTCCCTTCACTAGCTGGAGCTGGGAACACAGAGTTTAAAAAGGGAAGCTACGCACAGCAAAGTTGTTGGAAGCAAATTGTGAGTTATCTGTTATTGTTGAAGCTTATCTGGGTTCCTGGCATCTTCCCAACTGTGTTTTGTTGGCCTATCAAGTCTGCAATTATTTCTCCTGCCCTGCCAAGTTAATTGCTGCAGTGTGATTTGTGTGGATTTTTATTTACACTTTGTATGTACTTTGTTTTCAGATTGAATTTCCTCCACTTAAAGACTGTTCTTGGGAGAGTTTTTTCTCCAGCCAAAGGTAACCTGAACACTGGGGGCAAAGTTGAAGGTATTAAAGGAACTCTTCTTGCTTATTTGACTGTGTTGCCTCTGTGCCACGCCCCAGATCATCACAATTTCTCGAAGGAGCAGCAAAGATAAACTAATATGAGTATTGCAACGTGCTTTACATGGGGCTGTCCTTGAAAAGTTTCTAGAAGCTTCAATTAGTTCAAAATACACTGGCTTGAATGTTTTCATGCAAGTCTAGATTGGTCCCTCTGTTGCGGGAGCTGCATTGGCTCCTGATTTGCTTCTAATTCAAGGTGCTGGTTGTGTCACCTTTAAACTGTACATGGCCTGGGGCCAGGTTGTTTGAAGGGCCATCTTTTCCCAGTTACATGCACCTTACCCATTGGAATGAGGAGGCAGGAGATATTACCAGTCTGGTCTATTAAGGAGGTCCATCTAATGGGACAAGAAGAAAGGCTTTCTCCATAGTAGCTCCCTTACTATTCCTATGCACAAACGTAGGGGGGAAAAAATCCCATGCATCTAAACAGTTCTAAATTATAATCCATATGTAAGCAGAACTATTTCCCCTCAAAGTGAAAAAGCCAAGTCAATCAATCCATAAACAGTCTACCTGTCTGAATTAACGGATGTATTTTTTGTTTGTAGCTTTCTTTTTTCTCTTTTGTTTGCTGCTTCTGGAGGAAATCCAGTATGCCGTCCTTGATTAGTAAACTGTAAGGACTTCAAGGCTTTAGTTGTACGTCCCTGAATAAATACAGACAATATCATTTTTAAAAATTCAAAGCATGTCTAATTGATATCATGTTTCAGCTAAGAGACAAACACTGAAGCTGAAATATACACTTCTCTCTTTTTATTTATGGTATCAACTGTGCTCTAAGTCGCTTATGAGATATCTCAATGAATAAAAGTAATAGTAATATCAATAGTCAAAAGAAAGCAAAGATAATAAGTTGGACAGGAGTATACCCTTAGAGATGCAAGTTAATAGAAACAGGAATAGTTACTTTAATAAACAGGGTAATTTCTTCACTTCTCTTTTTATTTCCCATTTCCAAAATAGGAAATAATTGTAGCATGTCTTCATTAAACACAGACTGTGCAAAGCTGGATACCAAGTTCAGTTTTAAAGTTGAAAGTCTTCCATCATGGTGCTCCTTATAGCTTGGAAGAGAAATCCTCCTCTATCAATCATGTAAGAGCTCTAAGGAGTGTGCAGCTTCAGACTGCAGATGGTAATTCAGTTTTTGAACGTTCCCCTTAGTGAAATACACCTTGCAAGAAAAGCACTAAAAAGTAGGGAGATGTTAGAATCTCCCTTCTTTGTGCTTCTCCGTTTATATTTGCAGAGTATTTTACACAGGGGATTTGTAAAAGTGTAGTCTATACCATCAGTCTGAAGTAGTACATCCCATTCTAGTGTCTTAAATTCTTTTAAATCTCAAGGTATGCAGTGTGTTGACAAGACCTCACTGCTTACACATATTATATAGTCTCATCCTGTCGGTGTTCATATAAGCTAATTTGCCTTTAAATATTATAAAAAAAAGTTAAGATCATATCATCATACAAACCAGGAAAGTATCGCTAACGAATTCTTGAAAAGCCACTTTATTAAAACAGCTCTTTAACTATTGCTTCCTGGTTTGAATAAAACAAAAATTTGTTTGATTGAGTTGAAAGTTATGGGAAAAGCTTATGCATATTGCAGTTTCAAAAGCTGAACAGTTATTTTCTCCCTGTTCCCATGAAAGGATTTGGTCTCTTTTCCCCTTAAAAGGATTAGAGCTCATTCATACGTACAATTCATACAAAGATTCATCTGAGAAGTTGTAATTTTACATGAAAACGCCATTTCTGATGTTTAAACTCTGATGGCATTTTCTTCATGCAGTGCTTTTCCAGTGAGTCATACATTCAGGAACTGTATAGAACTGAGTGTACTCTTAGTATTTTTAAAAAAGGGATTGATGCTATTCTTTTCATATTCTTAACCTGTCTTCTATGGCACATATATTTAGAGGTACAACTTTTTTTCAGTGGGTGGGATTTACTATCACATAACTGCAAAAGTTACAGCTTTAGTCCAGTACTTAGATAGTTGAAAAAATGGTCCCATATACATACGTCTGAATCAAGTCTCCTTCGTTGACGGTCTTCAGAGTCAACCTCTGCATTTCCATTTATTATCTGTGTACATTTGGGGCAAAGCTTCCAGCCTGGTATAAATTGACGTCCAAACTTGGCACTTAGAAAAGTTGAATCATCTATGTCAATTGCATGCAAGTTTTTCCTGGAGAGTTTTTTGTGTATATTAAAAGGATCGCAACATGACTTTTGCAAGTCCTCGTACCTATCAAGGTAAACTTTGGCATGATGTAAGCAGATTGTATGAGTCTCTGAAAGAGTTATCCCAGTTCTAAGCTGAAGAAGTAACAGGTCAGTTGCTGATAAATCTTGCTTAGTCTTGAAGCCAGTTTGAGACGTAAAATATGCTTTATGACAATCGCTGCTTGCTTGCAGCTGATTTCCAATTGAACATGGATCCATTTTACTTGATCAGTAAAATATATTTCAGTATTTAAATTGTATTGTTTGTCGTCTTTTAACAGCTGTTACGAAGATTATCCTGGAGAAAGCAGTGAAGGAAGTAAGATTTGTGATGCATAAGTTTATTTTTAACTAGAGCCAAAACAAAATCAACTCAGAAATGTGTCCTGTACTCTGATATTTTTTTAAAGGATGAAGTGGAATCATAAAATAGGCATTTCTGCAGGCAATGCCAGTTTCTCGGTTTTCAAGCAATTTGCCTACCATTAAATTTAGGCACTAAAGTACCATGTTGCAACAAGAGTGCATTTATATACCAGCTTTCATCAGTCAATTCCATATATAAAATAACCGACATTTCATGTATAGGTTTTCATAGATTAAAAGAATATTGTAGACTGGTACAATTAGTTTTAAGAATTGGAAGTACTAACCTAGTTGGGAACTAAAATAGCTAGGTTGGTTTCTGTTCCAAAATGAAAGATTGCTTTACAATAACAAAATCATTTTTCCCCAGAATACTCATTGTGGAAAATGCTCAAATAATAATAGATATATTAGGTTTTTGACATTAAGAATCTCAAAAATAAATAAGTAAAGAAGGCTAGTTTGTTAAGCTGTTAATAAATTCCAAAAATCCAAGCATTTAATTATGCAGAAGAATCCTGCAACAGATCTGATGGGAAATTGTAAGACTTTTGTACTCATTAGATTATTTAATTAAGTTGAAAGTTATACAGATAACTCAATTAGAACTCTCAGGCAAGGTAGGTTAAGGACCCCCTTTAATTATTTTTCAAGCACATAATTTAAGATTCATGTATAGAAGCAGCTGCAACATGACACTTTTGTACCTTGGGAATATACATCTTGTCCAGACTGCAGAATCTGCTAGCAAAACGTGCACCAGATTATTTCTTGAGAAATGTATGATGCCACTTCTGCTATCTGACTTAATAGTGGAAAGAAGCCTTAAGACATCTGAATTAATATTTCCTAATGGCACTTTAATTAAAGAGTGCAGGGCAGGAGGTTGCAAGAATGACGGCGGAAGCAAAGCCAATGTGAAGAAGCTATTAAAGTGCAAGCAATATTATGAAGAAATTAAATGGTCGACAGCAAAATCAGACAAGGAAAAAAACTTGCAACTTGCAGCTTTTTTCCTCGATGAATCAGTCACATGCGTGCCCAGTCCAGATTGACATTTTATCAGAACAGCAATTAGGATTGTTTTTTTAGGATCACCAAAATCATGAGTATTTTTTTTTCAAACACTTGCAGAGGTCAGGATCCAAAAAAATCCACATAATGCATGTAAGTGCTTCTACATATGCAGTTTTCTTTATCCAAGTTTCCTTCCAACTAAAGTATTCTGGGTTTGCATAGGATGCCCCATAATCTTCCACAACATCATTTCAGATAGGAGGACAAAGGGCTAGATGAAGATTTCCCCAAAAGTCCAGATTTGCATGTAGAGGCTTGTAAGCAGCAACTGGGGTCCTATGATGAGTCTCACTATTTAGCCTAATTGTCTTGTCTTCTTGAATAATTTATTTTAGAATCTGAAACAAAAATTCATATGAGGACCCGTGTCTTGGAATATTTTAACTCTTTGCCTTTTTTCACACAGTATTATACTTTACATCGTCTATTCTGCTCCAAGTTAGTTATGACTCCAAAAGATATAGATTTCAGCTTGACATCAAATATTTGACTGTGTTCTATTAACACAGGTGTACTTTTACAGCTCAACTTTTGGTTTGCATTTTTTTGTTTGTTGTTATGTAAACAAACATTATGATTGCCTCTCACATTTCTTGTATTGTTTAATTATTTTAGCCAGGAGATCTAAGGTCCTGTTCATAATTTAAACCCATTTGTAACACAAAAGAGTTGCATAAAATTACATCAGCTCCTAAACTCAACTTAAAATGACGAGAATAAGGTTTTTAATTATTGTCAGTATAAAATATTGCCAATGAGTGTTGCAACATCTAAAGCTTCAGTTTTGCTTTGCTCTGATTAAACAGTTTAAGTGTACAAGAGTGAGCAAATTTTAGAAAGAGCAGAAGATGTCAAGAATAATGCACTAATTTTATGTAGGAGTGAATCACTGAAGATAAATAGCTGATAACCCCATGATAAGCTCATTAAAAACATGGCAGGTAATGTTAGAAAGGAGGCGGGAACAACTGCTGCTATTACATTTAAAAAGTAACAGAAAGAAGAGCCAACACATGGAAAGAAAACAAAACAGAAAGAATAACTTCAACATATTTGCCATTATCAAAGCATGCACATTATTCTTAAAAATCTTTAACTGCTCAATAGTTGACTGATTATTCAATATCTGAGATTCTTAATATCAGTATGTGAACTGGATTGTCTTGAATGAACAAGCTATGTTCTTACAATAATGGAAGTGTTCAGCTTTGTCAACACATGAGGTATTTTAATTAGCATTTCAGCACCATGTAACTCAGGGCTGTCAAACTTGCAGCAGTGGCCCAGATGCATCACATGCTGGCCACGGCTACACTTGGTTTAGCAAAGGGGGAAAAAGTCATGATATGTCACATGACGACATGAGTTTGACACCCCTGATGTAACTCAAGAGTGAGGAATGTGAGGCATTTCATTCCTGAACTACAACTCCCAGCATCCTGTTATTGCTATGCTGAAAGTTATAGTTCTGTAGTAGAACTGAAGCTACTCAAAGCCGTGTCGAGCAGTGTCTGGAGGAATGCAAGTTATATTTCTCTGATTTACCTGATGCTGAAGCAGTCACAGAAATAATTCTAACATGTTGACATATGTGAGCATTTTTATAAATGCTGACTTGCTGAAGTACTAGAGAAAGGGCCGTAACAACAGGTTCTATTTCCAGATACCTGCTGTCCTGCAATTCAAATTATTTTTAGTCAACTGACCAAGCAGCAAATAATTTAAAATTTGCTCCAACAGTTTCTAAATGTGAGAACCAGTTATAAGTTAGGGTTTTTTTTAGCATTGTTGTAACTTCGAATGGTCACTAAATGAATGATTGTAGTCGAGGACTACCCGGTTCTATAAAAAGAGACACTCTGCATGTCCTCATAATCACTTTAAATGTATTTTGCCTGTAGTAAATGTTTTATCTATGCAATTCACCTGAAATATCCAAAAATCCTACTAAAGGATGGTACAGAAATGGACAAATCCAGCAAATGTTTTTGTGACAGAAATCGTAAGAGGAGGGGGAAAAAGAAAAACAAACCCAGCATCTCTAATTGTAATCCTAGGTATTACATATCAACATGAACTAAATCTGGAAACAGTCTGTTGCAGCATATGCACTATGTAAAAGATATAGAGCAAAGCAAAGCAGGCTACGGCTGAGCTTGTGTAACAATTTGTAGAAAGGCAGAAAGCATACAAATCACATTTTATAAAAGTTATTAACAGATTATGTAGTTTACTGCTTGAATATTGTAATGACAGTCATTGCTGTTTTGAATGATCAAAGAACTGGTCCTGATTCTACATCAACACTTGTTAAAGAAAAAAAATACAGTATGCATGGGGGGGGGGGGGGAAGGCCCTCAGAACCAAAAACCTGACTTCCCTAATGAATAAAGAGATGCAGTCAATCAAACCTCACACTTAAAGTATATCTAACATTGTAATATATAAAATGGCATTGTTTCCATTCCATAAAATTTAGATTTACATGCACCCACCTTTTTCTACTATAAGAGTTAAAGGTACATATATTTGAAAATATCTTTATTTTTTAAAAACTAACAAGAGACATAGGATTGCCATATCTCAAATATTTACTGCACAACATAAATCGGGAATCAGTCAAAAATCTGAATCCATCCAATGTATGATTTAGTATCTGAAATTATTAAATGGGTCTATACCTCAGGGGGCATTCATAGTAAGTTGAAATATAATTCACAGCATTTTTTACTAGTTTTGTTTATAGGCAAATATTAATATAAACATTTCACTCTCTCCAACGCACACCAAAAACATCAGTGTGTTAACTTTGGCAACAATCCAACTGTAATGCTGGTTAAAAGTCTCTGTAAGCAGCTCTCCCCCATCCCCCACTCAATTGTAGCTTCAGATCAGGCTACAGTGACTTCCTTAATTATGATTGATAAAATTCTTCTATATGACATAAAACATTTCCATAAGTGACTTACTCATGTTTTAAAAAGCCATATAAACTTTCCCAATGGTGTCTATCCATTTGTTGTTTTCAAGCCTATCTCATGAGAGTGGGTGTGTCAAGATCAGAAAATTCCTTTACAGGTAGTCCTTGACTTACAACCACAATTGACTCCAAACTTTGTTTTGCCCCATTTTATGACCTTTCTTACCACAGTTGTTAAGTGAATCACTGCAGTTGATAAGTTAGTAATCTGGTTAAGGGAATCTCCCTTCCCACATGATTTTGCTTATAAGAAGGTGGCAAAAGGTGTTCACATGACCTTGGGACACAGCAACCGTCATAAATTAGGGATCTTTAACTAGATTTCTCTCCTCTATGCATTCCTTCAAAGGGAAGCTGGATATTTAAGGATTATTTTTTTTAGAGTTTTCAATGCTTTCAATGTTTTCAATGCTTTCTCTACACCTTTTCTCCAAATGGAAAACAGACAAAAGTAATGAATCCTCAAGGCGAGAGCCGAACCGGGAAACGAAACGATCTCCCTTTCAAGAGCCAAAGGCAAGACTTCGACATCTTTTTGTGCCAGCCTTTCTCCATCCACATCAGCCTTCCGGACGTGGGCTTCGACTCCCATAATCCAGCGAGACGGGGATCATGGGAGCGCGAGTGCAACGAATGGAGGGGGACAGCCTAAACTGCGTTCCGCGGAGGGAAACTCCGCTCGCACAGCCTCCCCGCTGCTCCTCACCTTGCCGTGGGCTTTTCTTCGCCCGAGCCCCGCCGTTGCCGTCGCGGCTACAGCCACCGATCCCGGCTCGGCCGCCTCGCCCACGGCTGCCATGAAACCGACCGCTTCCCCGTCGTAGGGCGAGGACGGCCGCGAGGCGCAGAAGCAGGGACGGCAAATCTATTGGCCCACTCGCCGCACTTCCGGGGCCGGATGGCTTTGTAGACACCCACGGCAGGAAGAGCAAAAGCGGCCTTGGAACCGGTGCCTCCTGTATCTGGTTCCCTCCGCACGATTTTTTTTTTTCAAGATCGCCCTAATTTCTGTTCCGGGTTGAGGGAACAGAACCCGTGGCTTTCCACCCACCCCTACCCCCAAGTTTTGTTGCGGGCAGAAGTTCAACAGCCAGTGACTGTTGCACGAAGAGGAAACCGATGCGGAAAGTTGCATCGTTTCGATCATCGAGGACTGAGGGCAGGGTTAGATCTGGCTAAACCTTCACGCCAGCTAAAAAGGATTAGGCGGGCATCAAACGTTGTATTTCTTTCTGCACATGCCATATTTGTACCCTTCTGGGTCGCCTTTATTTCGGGTAATTCCGCCCCCCTACAGTCGCATTTGTCACTTTTGCTTTTCGGTAATTTGTGTATTTTAATGTACATTTGCACCAAGAACATTTGTACCAAGGCAAATTCCTAGTGTGTCCAATCACACTTGGCCAATAAAGAATTCTATTCTATTCTATTCTATTCTATTCTATTCTATTCTATTCTATTCT